AAATGGTTCTTTAAGGGTCCATAATTTATTTTATTTTCTCTTTCTTTAGCAAAAGCACAAACAGAAATCTAAAGGGGACAGTGTGCGAGCTGTACGGGTGAAAACTAAGGCCCCTTGGATACCCCCAGGCAAAACAAGCACTCGTGATACCATCTTGAAGTGGGAGGTACAGCTGGTTTTGCTCTTTAAAACAAACTTGGAGGTTTAGCCAAGGTTGAAGAGAGCACTTGTGTAGTGAGAGATTTGGACAGATCTGAAAGAAGGCTACCATCCCCTACCATCTATTTGAAGTGTCTTCTGCAAATCTTTTTCTCTTTTTAATGTAGAAAAACTGAGAATTCATAAACATCCTGTGGCCATGCCTTTTTGTCTCTAGAAGCCAGACACATTTATTTTTTTATTGTAATTTTACTGGTGCACTTCAAGATCTCATCTGGAGGCTCAGTGAGGGACTGCTAGTCTCAGTGTCTTCTAAAGTATGGAGCGTTTGTGTAGCATTGCATCATTTTTTCTTTCTCATGGGTTGATGGTTTTACCTGTTGTATTCCTGGCACCTCCTAGATGAGGATTTGAGCTTTGATCAGTTTTTCTTCTTTTTCATTGTACTCTTTCTGCATTCTTGACCTTTCCCAGATGGAAAGAGAAGAGCTGTTTGTAAACAATGTTTTTTTCTTTCCTAGCCTTGCTGCAGTGATGTGACCCAGTCTCTGTTTTTTGGCAATGTTAGAATATTATTTATAACATTATACTAAAAAAATTATCCCCTTTATTGCCTGGCAGGAATCAAGTGAACGCCTGGAAGCTACACCTAACGCTGAGTCTGACAGGATGCAGTCAGTACTACGCCTCAGTGACCTCTCCACGGATGACGATGATCCCGCTTGCTGCAAAATTAACAAATATGAGAAGAAGATAGATAGCCTGATGAGCATGGTGGGAACACTGAAGAAAGAGGTGAGGAGACAGTGGAAAGACTTGCTGACTGGGGCTTTGTAGCTGATCTTTTGACAAGAGGAGGCTGGAGGCAGGTCTTGGTGCAATGGAAGGCTGCCCAGGCTGTTGGTAGCTTGCTTGAAAATCAGTCCGAATTGTTTAGAATAGCTGAACTATCCTGGTGAGAAATTCACTAAGCCACATTATGAAACATTTCAAAATATTATTAATTTAATAAGGTATTGCTGTGCTTTAGGTTCCAAATAATCTCTCCAGCCCAAGCCCAAAATCTGAAAACTGATGTCTCCAGAAAGTGAAAAATACAATGCATTGATGTTTTATTGTCAAAAAATCCCCTTATTCAATGAGATTGTTTCTTCTCATTCAGTTTCAAAAACGTACAACCCAGTGATGTTGTGTTTTCCAGATAAATAGGCTCTTATGTACTTGACACCACTTAAAAAATATGTGGGAGATGTTCCCAACTCTCATAAGATGCATCACGATGGGCGTAAACTGCATTTTTAACATTTTGTTAACACTCAGAGTAGCAAATTCTGTATTATT